GGGTGAGGCGCTGGGAGGCGGGGCTGGGCCGCAGGGCGCTGGCCTCAGAAGCAGCCTGAATAGGGCTCGGGCCTTTCAACCACGACTCCTGCCTCCACTTCAGAGACGTCTCCAGTGGGGGGGACCCTGCCTCCCACGTCATGACTCACGTGTGGGAAAGCCCTCCAGACGCCTAGGTTTCAGATGCAGGATGGGAGGGCTTGTTTGTTTTGTTGTTAATCCTCCTCTGAGGATATTTGTTCCATTGATTGATTGATTGATTGATTGATTGATTTAGAGTGGAAGGGATGGGGGTAGAGAGAGAGAGGAATATTGATGTGAGAGAGATACCTCGATGGGTTGCCTCCCACATGCACCCCGACCAGGGCCAGGGATGGAACCTGCAACTCAGGTACGTGCCTTGGCCAGGAAGAGCCCTCCACCCTGCGGTGCAAACCCCAGAAAAGGAGGGCATCCCCGCCCCCCGACTGAGGAAGGACGCCGTGGCCGGGGGTGGGGGCCAGGGGACAGCCAAGCCCCTGCTCCTCCCTCGGCACCGTGGGAGCTGCTCCAGTGGCTGCGACACGCGGTCGGCCAGGGGACAGCCAAGCCCCTGCTCCTCCCTCGGCACCGTGGGAGCTGCTCCAGTGGCTGCGGACACGCGGTCCTGTGGGCCAGGCCGGGCCAGAGACCCCCTCGGGGAAGGACAGGCTCTCGGGACTGTGGTTCCAGCAGAGACCCCGGCCCCTCCCGCAGGAGAAAGGCGGCAGCGCCTCCTCTTACCTGACAACGTGGAGCCTGGAGAGGCAGACTGGTCCTCGGGTCACAGGGGCCCTTGTGACATCACCGCTCCCCTCCTCTACCCCATCCGGGCTTGGCCAGGCCCAATGGAGCAGCAACCTGAGGGGTGTTAACATCTGAGCCTCTGCCCTCCAGCCATGGGCAACCAGTGCTATGTAAGAACGGGGCGGGGGGGTGGGCCCCTCCCCGGGGTGGGGAGCCACCCGTGGCGGGGGCAGCACTTGGGGGTGGGTGAGGAGCTGGGCACTCGGCGGGGACTGGTCCTCACTCGTGCTTTCCCCTACGTTTTGCTTACAGAAGCACGACAAGGAGGAAGAGGAGGAGGTGAGAAGACGGTCAGTGAAGAAGAAGACGGTAGGTGGGGGAGGGGGGGGACCAGGGCGCAGGAGAGAATCACAAATCATGGCCCCTCGGAACCCAGGGTCCTCGCAAGTGGAGGGCCCGTCCCTGGTCCCATGCCGTCGGCTCAGGGTTGCTGTCCAGTCCCCACAAATCCCGCCCCCTCCCCCGAGCGAGCATGCTAAGTAGGAAGAGACGACCCATCGGTGGATGTGGATCGGGGTGCAAACAGCCCACAGGGAAGGCGGGCACAGGGCAGGGGGCGCTGGAGAGGGGAGATGGGCCGGCCTAGTCCCAGAGGAGGTGGGTGACCGAGAGGTGGGTGTGGAAGTTGGGAGAAGGGAGGCTGTGGCAGGGATGGGCGTCCGGCGGCCTCGCGGGCGACAATGCAGAGCTTCACCCTCGCGGGCACCCTTGGGCGCTGCACACCTGCCGGCCGGGTCTTCTGGTTGGAAAGTGTTCCCCCTGGTCCCACGAAGCCGAGAAGACCACGGGGCAAGCAAGCATCCTGTCCGACAGGAGAGGACACGGTGACGCAGAGCGCGAGCAGAGGTGGCCATGGCCACGGACAAGATGGCAGCGCAGCGAA